TCCTCCCTACCCCCTCCCCCCTTCTCCCTCCTCCGTCCTCCGTCCTCCATCCTCCCTCCTCCGCATTCCTCGCTCCTCTCTCCTCCCTCCTCGGTCCTCCCTCCTCCCTCCTCTCTCCCCCTGACACCGTGCTGTACGCGCCGCCCCACGGCGCGCGTGCTCGGAGCTCGCAAAGCGGATGGCTCGGGCAACCCTGCCCGGCCTTTGGCACCGGCTATGTACAGTGGGGCCGGGGCCGCGGCCGGGGTTGTGGTATTGTCTGTGCACCAGTACTGTGCCGTGTCGTGCACCGCCAGAATGCCCTGAGATCCTGGCGTGACGCTCAATCGTTTTGAGCCGGGCGCGCTCGCCCGTTGTCGGGCTCCGGGGCCCTCGCAGATCGCTGCGGCCTGAAAACTGGCGCAGAAAGATGAGGTCGAGAGCTCTGGGCGTGGGTTCTGCAATGCTGCAATTGTTCGCACGTTCAGATCTCAGGGTACGTCAATATCCACTGCCGCAGGATCGTGTCATGGGGACTCGCGGAGCGGTGGATATGGATATTTGCCCGCCAGTGCGGGCGGGCATACACATCCATCATACCCACCACTTCTCGAGATCCCAGGGCACGACTCCGGAACGGTGGACATGGCATTCTCTGGCGGTGGGTATCGCTCGCCCTGGGCTCAGGCCTGGTCCGAGTGAATTCGGAACGCGTTGGCGGCTGCTGTTCAGCATGCGTCCGTAAGCTGGCGCGGGCTGGGGAAGGGGATAGGCCACCACATGCGAGCCCTACCCATCGGTCGGAAGAGGTAGGTATAAACATGAACTATGAAGGCGTTGGAAGTAGGTTTCCCCCCGTCTCCTGTAGAGGAGGGAAGAGGGAAAACCAATCGACTCTTGAAGTAGGAAGGCGGCTAAAGAAGATCGGGCACTGGGAATCCGGACATACCTGCTTTCAACGACCGATGGGTACCCCTGCAGGTCAGATGTTCTGAAGAAGCGGCTGGGGCTCAGAATTCGAAGGATGTCTGCAGCCAGGTGAACCCCAGCAGGGGTGTCGCATACTTTCCCATACCCCAACGTCGATTGAACCTGCAGGGCTGGGGTCCGCAAGTGGTCGCAGAGAGGAGCAAGGCGCGGGGGGGAGAGGAAGAGAAGGAGCATGGCGCCGCCGCTGTCTCGCGGTTACCCATACGGGGGCGTGGCGGCACGATGCGAGGAAGCGGTGCGACTCCGCGCAGCCGTATTAAAATAGTTCTTGGTAGCGAATCCGCGGCCCTGCCTGCAGAACGCTGGGGCGTGTTAGGAATGCCGGTTGGCTGTCTGATGGGGCTTCCGCGGTGTTACAGGGGTGCCCCCCTCACCGATATGCCTGGATCGAGAAGCACACCCACACCTCTGCCTTCCATCCCCTGGCGCTCGTCACAGCCCAAAGACAGCTCGAGACCGCATTAAGACGGCATGATTAGTTGCTTGGTACGATTGTCTAAGTGTGAGTGGGTCTGCCTATACGCGGGTATGCGAAAGACTGGAGATAAGTGCAAGCGCGTCTGAGTCGCAGCGACTGCGTGCCAGTAGGTATGAGTATGATCGAGCCTGGAGATGTCAGACTGATTATAAATAAGTCTGCATGGGTCTGTGTACGAATGGGTTTGAATGAGAGAGTTTTTGAATGCGAGTAAGTCCGAACATGGGTGAGGAGATCAAGGGAGGTCGTCGGGCCTCCTAGGAGTGCCCGCAGCATCCAGGGGCTTCGGGGCTCTCTTCGGCCTTCCGGAGCTGCTTGGCGCCTGATGGAACGTCTCTCGCATCCCAAATGTTCCTGCTGCTTCCTGCGGTATCCTGGCACATCCTGGGGCGTCCTGGGGACTCCTGAAGCGTCCTCAGTCCGGGACATCCTCTGGAGCCACCCACCTGGGAGGCCCCAGCGCGATGCCTGCTGCCTCACTGTGGCACTGGGGCTCTGACATGAAGCGCGCACACACCCCGAGATGGGCACTCCGCTCGAGAAGACCAACCAGTCTGGGCGCGAACGGGCCCGAGGAATATCCCGCGGTGCCCCCCCCCTCCCCTGGCAGATCCCACTGCGAGAAGGAAATTCTCAGCTGAGAGCATGGCCTTCACCGCAAGCGTGTTCTTCAACAGCAGTCTGAGGCCAGTCCACAGAAACTCCCAGCGTCAAGTCCTGATTCTTCATTTTTCCAAGCGACATGTACCAGTGAGTGTGAGTACGAGTGAGTCTGAGTAGGAGTGAGTGTAAGTGCGAGCGAGTCTGTACACGCACGACTGAATACAAGCGTGGGTGGATCTGCGAATCGGTGGGGCTGAATGGGAGCTTGTCTAAGCGCGAGCGATCCTGAATATGATTTCGTATAAGTGTGAGTGGGTCTGTGTACGAGTGGGTCTGAGTATGGAGGGAGGACAAAGGCGGGAGGTGAAGAGGCGGAGGCATTATCCAGTCAGGAAGAACCTATGCTTGGGACATGGGAGATAACACAGTTGTTCGGTGTTGCTGGCCTCACAAAGCTGCCCGTCCTAGCATTGCCTCAAGAAAGCTTCAGAGAACCCCACGAGAGCTCCAAGGACTGGAGGACAACCCCGAGACGGCTAAAAAGCAGCGCCAAGGGCCAAGGGCGTCCCAAGACGACCCGAGGAACCTGAAGGCGGCATAAGACCGCCCCAGCGGGGTCCCTGGAAATCTCGACCCATTCCCCAGGACCGGCTTTTCGTCCTGAGTCGTTTTTATCGGCGGTGGACAAACCTCCCTTTAGTAGACCTCCCCTTAGTGAAAACGGCCTGGGACCGAAATCGACGGACCTGGACCCGCAAAAATGACGGCCGCGACGCCCTCTCGCGAACCGAAAACGGCCAATTCCTTAATCGACGTGTCAGGGTAGGAGGTCTGTCCACCCCCGATTTTAGACGGTCCCGGGGCCCCGCGAGGGCCCACAGAGGCCGAAAACGGTGGAAAACCTTCATCGGAAAACGCGCTGGCTCTGGAGCCCCGAAGGAGGGCCTCGACACTGCACCGAGGCCCAACCGGACGGCCCCGGGAAGGTGCTGCGGAGCCTCTCTGGGAGAGCTCGCTGCAGCCCGCGCGCCCCAAGCAGACCCCCAGCAGGCCCCCGGCAGGCCCCCGAGAGGCCATCGGGGGGCCCCTGCCCCGAGAAGCCCCAGAAGGCCCTCCGGGAGGGCCCCTGCAAGGCCGCAAAGAGGCCCGCCAGGAGCCTGCAAGAAGCCCCCCCAAGAGGCGACGCAACCGTCACGCAACGTCATGGCCGCGCCACAGGTTAGCACCGTGCCACGGCTTCCCAGACGGCCCTCGTGGCCGTTCCGTTGAGCCTCGCCAGAGAATCTCGGCAGTACCGCCCTGCCCAATCTCGATGCTGCGCTGGCCCGGCGGCGCGGTCTGCAGCGAGCAGCTGGGAATTGGAGAGGGAGCCGTGCACCCTGAAGCACGAAAATTTGAAATGGTCCACCCCGCCCGTCAAAAAAAGGCGGGAGAAAAGAGAGAGGCCAGCACAGAACCAGTGGAGGAGGAGGAGGAGGAGGAGGAGGAGGAGGAGGAGGAGGAGGAGCAGAACGAGGAGGAGCAGGAGGAGGAGGACGAAGAGAGACTGATGTCGTGGGAGCTTCAAGGCCTGGGAAAACGGTTCGAATTCAGCACCAGCGAGGGCGGGGATTTTTAGCCACAGAATCAGCGCCCGTGGATCGACCCTCAGGGGGATCTCGGCGAGCCGTGGATCTGGATGTGGTTGGCCCCCGCCCCAACACGAATGCATCCGTACCCGTCGGTCGGAAGAAGTAGGTAGAACCATGAAGTAGGAAGGCGTTGGAAGTAGATTGGGCTTTCGCCCGCCTCCAGGAAAGAGGGAAAACCACTCGACTCTTGAAGCAGGAAGGCGGCTAAAGTAGACTGGACACTGGGGATCCAAAATTATCCCGGCAAAGCAACCTAACAGCGATATGTAGAAGCATATCTGAAAGCATTCCCATTAAGATTCAGATGAAAATCCAGTTGTAGAATTCTGCTGTTCTCGCAGTCGTAGTCGCATTCGCGATGACAGTCGCAGCGGCAACGGCAGTCGCAGTCACAGCCTCAGCCTCAGCCTGCCTCAGCCTCAGCCTCAGCCTGCCTCAGCCTCAGCCTGCCTCAGCCTCAGCCTCAGCCTGCTTCAGCCTCAGCCTCAGTCTGCCTTCAGCCTCGGCCTCAGCCTCAGCCTGCCTCAGCCTCAGCCTGCATCAGCCTCAGCCTCAGCCTCAGCCTGCCTCAGCATCAGCCTGCCTCAGCCTCAGCCTCAGCCTGCCTCAGCCTCAGCCTCAGTCTGCTTCAGCCTCAGCCTCAGTCTGCCTTCAGCCTCGGCCTCAGCCTCAGCCTGCCTCAGCCTCAGCCTGCCTCAGCCGCAGCATCAGCCTGCCTCAGCATTCAAAATGTGGCCCAGGAATGGAGTTCTGGGAACTAGAAGAACACGAAGTGGCCTACAGTTGGCTCCGGGCATTCAAAATCATACCCAGGAATGGAGTTCTGGGAACTCGAAGAGCACGAAGTGGCCTACAGTTGGCTCCGGGCATCCAAAATGTGGCCCGGGAATGGAGTTCTGGGAACTCGAAGAGCACGAAGTGGCCTACAGTTGGCTCCGGGCATCCAAAATGTGGCCCGGGAATGGAGTTCTGGGAACTCGAAGAGCACGAAGTGGCCTACAGTTGGCTCCGGGCACTCAAAATGTAGCCCGGGAATGGAGTTCTGGGAACTCGAAGAGCACGAAGTGTGTGACTGTTGACGAAAAACGAGCCCGGCTCTGTTCCCGGTTCTCCAGAATCTGGCCCGGGAATGGAGTTCTGGGAGGTCGAAGAGCACGAAGTGTGTGACTGTTAGCGAAAAGCGAGCCCGGCTCTGTTCCCGGTTCTCCAGAATGTGTCCCGGGAAAAAGTTCTGGGAGGTCGAAGAGCACGAAGTGTGTGACTGTTGGCGAAAAACGATTCCCGGTTCTCCTCCCCGGCACCCGCCCAGACCCCCCTGAGGAGTCATGATGCTTTCTTTTGAGCCTACTAGAAACCTATCAGCAAACGCTGTTAGGTAAATACATACTTTCAACGACTGGTGGATATCCACCGCCCGCCGAGGTCCCCAAAGATTGATCCCACAGGCGGTGGTGATGGAGAAATCCCAGCCTCGCAACACTAACGCAGGCGCGTGCCCGTGAGGAGCGCTCCAGGCACTTCGGCAGGAGGGGAGGGAGGTCTTGGCTTAAGGCAAACCAGGTCCTGACGGAAGCATGTCCCCCTTCACCTCCTCCTCCTCCTCCTTCTTCTTCTCTCTCCTCCTCTCTCCTCCTCCTCCTCCTCCTCTTCCTCTTTTTATCATTATTATTATTCTTCTTATTATTATTATTCTTATTATTCTTCTTATGTTTCTTCTTCTTCTTCTTTTTTATTATTATTCGTATTCTTCTTCTTCTTCATATTATTATTATTACTCTTCTTATTATTCTTATGATTATGCTTATTCTTATTATTAGTATTATTAGTACTCTTCTTCTTAATAGTATTAGTATGATTCTTCTTCTTAGTATTATTAGTATTCCTATTATTCGTACTATTATTTGTATGATTCTTCTTCTTATTATTATGAGTAGCAGTAGTAGTAGTAGTAGTAGTAGTAGTAGTAGTAGTAGTAGTAGTAGTATGACTAGTATTACTATTAGTAGTAATAGCATTCGTATTCTTATTCTTCTTCTTATCATTCGTATCAGTATTCTTCGTAATGTTCGTATTATTATTAGTATTATAATGAGTCTTATTATTATTATTATTATTATTAGTTGTTTTCTTCTTCTTCTTCTCCTCCTCATCCTCCTCCTCCTCCTCCGCCTCCGCCTCCTCCTCCTGCTCCTCCTCCTCCTCCTCCTCCTCCTCCTCCTCCTCCTCCAACTCCTCCCCTCCTCCTCCTCCTCCTCCTCCTCCCTCCTCCCCCTCCTTCCTCTCTCTCCTCCTCTTCCTCCTCCTCCTCCGCCTCCTCCTCTCCTCCGCCTCCGCCGCCAACCGCCGGCCGCCGCCGCCTCCTCCTCCTCCTCCTCCCCTCCGCCTCTCCTCCTCCTCCTCCTTTGCCGCCCTCCTCCCTTTCCGCCTCCTCCTCCTCCTCCTCCCTCCTCCTCCTCCTCTCTCCTCCTCACTCCTCCTCCTCCTTCCTCCTCCTCCCCTCCCCCTCCCCCTCCCCCTCCCCCTCCCCCTCCCCCTCCCCACTCACCCCTCCCCCTTCCCTCCTCCTCTACATATTACTCAATAGAAATAACTCTGCCTCTTCCCCCTGATGGCGTCCGGGTGATGGCCGCGCACCCTCCGCGCACTGTTTTTTTTAACACACAGGATGCCCGGGAAATCCCGGGAAACGACTCTCGCTGAGGCGCCGGCGTCATTTTTTCCCAAAATGCTGCTCTCGTTGAGGCGCCGGCCTCATTTCTGCTCCCGAATCGTTCCGAATCGTGCTCCCGCTGCAGCGTGGGCCTCATTTTCGGATCGGTGGTTTGCCTCCGTCGTTCAGGATGGCGTTCTCGCCCCAGCGCGGGCCTCTTTCTCGCGCGCCCATCCGCCCGCCACCACCGCGCCGCACCGCCACCACCACCACCACCACCACCACCACCACCACCACCACCACAACCAGCACCAGCACCAGCACCAGTACCAACACCACCACACCCAGCACCACCACCACCACCAGCACCACCACCACCACCATCACCACCACCACCACCACCACCACTACCACCACCACCACCACCACGACAACCACGCACACACGCACGCACGCACGCACGTGCACCACCACCCACTACGCACGCGCGCGCGGAGCCACTGGTCCGCTACGACACGCGTCCGCGGATAGAGAAAATCAGCGCCATGGTAAGGGATGGGAGGGAGGGGTAGGACGTCAGATATGACGCGAGCGCACCTAGCTTGTCCTCCTCCTCCTCCTCCTCCTCCTCCCCCTCCTCGTCCTCCTCTTCCTCACCCTCCTCCTCCTCCTCCTCCTCATCCTCATCCTTCTCCTCATCCTACTCTTCCTCCCCCCCCACCCCCGCCTGCTGTGGGCCCACGCCGTTCATCAGCAGCGTCGCCAGCGAGCTCCCGGAGATCAAGCCCTCGACCGAGGTGGCAAGGCGCTTCAGCCTGCCCTGCGTCCCCTCGGTCTTCGCCCACTTCCACTTCCGCTCCTTGTTGATGGTCTTGGCCAGGCTGTCGGCGCTCGAGATGATGTCCTTGGCCTTCTTGATGTGCATCTTCGCGGTGTTCAGCGCCTCCACGGCCGCGGTCTTGGGCTTCGGCACCGCCTTGGACTTGGGCATGCTGCTCCCGCCGCAGTCGGCGGCCTCGACATTCGTGATCTGCTTCTCGTGCTGGGTCTCGTGCTCGGCCCACTTCTTGCGGAAGTGGTCTTTGAACTCGTTGGTAAAATACGTGAATTTGAGCTCTCCGCTCTGGCGATCCTTCTGGGCAAAGGGATACCCGAGCTTGATACATTGGCGGGATATGGTCAGGCATGCCGATATCGTGTGAGGGTCGGTTTGCCCCAATGGGCCACCCTCCTCGCATGTCATCTTGAGGAATGAACACAACTTCCCAGTTGATATCCAATCCTGCTCTGTCTCGCGAGTTGTCACACGATGCTTAGTGACCAAGCCGTCATATTGTGTTTTTGGCCCATTCTTTTTTGAAGGTATCTTTGCAAGTGGCGAAGTCGCATTTCTTCTTGAGGCTCGGGTTGCCGCCCATCTCCCGCTGTGAGCCCCACCCCCCCCCCCCCCCCCCCCCCCCAAGGCAGAGCGCGTATCAAGGGCCCGCCCTGGCCGCCATTGTCAGTCTCGAGCAAGCTCCTCAGCTGCTGGTCGCCCTTCATGAACTTGCTCTTGCGGCCGAAGCCACTCTCGATCGGCATCGTGTCGCTCTTGCCGTCGCGGCCCGTCTCCGTCGAGTCAGCGAAGAGGTTCTCGTCCCCGTGGTTGTTGACGAAGCTCTCGATCTGGGCCCGGGCGTCCTGCAGCTGCTTGGTGGCCGAGGAGGCGTCGTTGAGCGCCCTGGTGCAAACAAAAAATGCGAGGCAGGAGGGGGGGGGGGAGAAGGAGGAGGAGGACGATGAGGGGGGGGAGGAGGAGGAGGAGGAGGAGAAGGAGGGGGAGGAGGAGGAGGAGGGGCACGAGGAGGAGCACGAGGAGGAGGAGGAGGAGGAGGAGGAGGAGGAGGGGGGGGGAGGACGAGGAGGACGGATGGCGAGGAGAAGGAGAAGGAGGAGGAGGAGGAGGAGGAGGAGGAGGAGGAGAGGAGGAGGAGGAGGAGGAGTGGGGGAGCGTTAATCCCAGCGCTCCCGCGCGAGGGCGGCGACGGCGTGAAGGGCGCCACCTGCTGCTGCGGCGCGAGGGCGAAGGCGCCCGCGCCCTGCGCGATGCCGTCGTCGATCTCCCGCCTGATGCCGTCGCCGATCTCCCGCGCGACGCCGTCGCCGATCTCTTGCCTGATGCCGTCGCCGATCTCCGCGATGCCGTCGCCGATCTCCTGCTCGTTGCCGTCGTCGATCTCCTGCTCGTTGCCGTCGTCGATTTCCTGCTTGCTGCCGTCGCCGATCTCCTGCCTGTTGCCGTCGCCGATCGCCATCTTGCTGCCGTCGTCGATATCCTGCCTGCTGCTGTCGCCGAGCTCCTGGCGCGCGGCGGCCAAGGCGTCCTTGCCGTTGGCCTGGGCTGGCTCGCCGTCGGCCATCTCGCCAGGCTCGGCCTTGGCCGCCCTCCTCTTCCTCTTCCTCTGGCGCCCCTTCGGCTCGGCAACAAGCTCGGATCCTTCGGCCCTGGCTGCCGCGCTGCCTCCGACCGCGCCGCTGCCGTCGCCAGCGCCCGCGGGCGCGGCAGTCGCAGGCGCGCCAGCCTCGCCCTCGGGCGCCGCGACTGCCTCAGCCTCACTCGCTCCGCTGCCGCGGCCGGCTGCGCCGAGCTGCTGCCGCTTGCGCAACTCCTCCTGGAGCTTAAGCGCACACGCAGGTTTTGATACATGCATACGCATACATACGCATACATATGCATAAGCATGAACTCCGACGAGCCCATGGGGAGCCCTCGATCTCGGTGGACAGTTTATCGAGGCGGTTCGCGGCCCCGAGATGGGCCCCATGAGGCCCTCGGGTCTTGGAGTGCGTGTATGTATGTATAATTCAGGTGTGTATGTGTACATGCATGCAGACACCTGCATAGGTGTGTGTGTATATGCGTGTGCATGCATGTGTGCTTGAATATGCGTATGCAGGAGTGTATGCTGGTAATGTATGTATGTATGTATGCATGTATGTATGTATGTATGTATGTGTGTACGTGCATGTGTTTGTATGTATGTATGCATGCATGGATGTGTGTATGTGTATGTGTAGGTGTGGGTGTATGTGTGTATGCATGGGTGTATGTGTGTATGCACCTACGTTTGTGCGTATGCATGTATGTGTGCATGCATGTACATAGGCATGTATGTATGTATAACGTGTGTAGGTCTATATGCCTGTAGGTTTATGGATGTATGCATGCATGTATGTGTGTACGTATGTATGTGTGTATGTGTGTGTATGTAGTTATGTATGCATGCGCGTACACATGTACGTGTATACGCATGGTTGTGTGTAAGTGTGCTATGATGTATGGTTGTGTGTGTACGGACGTACGCTCGCGCGTACGTATGTATGGTTGCGTGTATGTTTGTATGTGTGGATGTACGTATGTATGTGTGTATGCATGTATGTGTGTATTGGTGTGTGTATGTATGCTTGTATGTATGTATGTATGCGCGTGTGTGCGAATGTATGTATATATTTATGTGTGTGCGTGTGTGTATGTAAGCATGTATGCATGCATATATGTATGTATGTATGTATGCAAATGTATACATGTTTATATGTATAAATAAGTATGTCTGTATGCACGGATGTATGTATGCATGTATGTATGTATGTGTATATGTATGTGTGCATGTATGCATGCGTGCATGTATGCATACATACATGCATGCGTGTATGTATGCATGCATATATGTATGTATATGTGTGTATGCATATATGTGTGCACAGACACACATGCACACATACATACCCCGAACTCCCAAGTGCCACACCCCCTCCCCCAGAGGGGAGGCGGCGGGGCTGGTTGCTGGCCACCGCAGTCCTCCGTCCCGAGCCGCAACGCCATGAGCTCGCGCTGCTGCTGCATCATCTCTCCCTCCCGCTCGGCTGCCTTCTGGTCCCTCGCCTCGTCGTCCGCCTTCA